ATGCTCCGCCGGGGCGAAGGACGGGTCGTGTTGTGGGAGCTGCCCACGGTTGCCGGATCCAACGGGATTGATCCGATGTTGTTGTACTGGGTAATTGGAGGGTAAAACTTTTGCATAGCGTGTTGTTGTTTCACATTTTGGAGATGGGATTGTATATGAAGGCCTTAAAACAAGTATATATGTTTGGGAAATTTGCTTTGTTATTTTTCATATCTATTTCAGGCTAAGTGCTTTTGTTCATTTCTGATTGGTAATATGCAAGTGCATTGTTGCTTTGTTACAAGACTTCTTTCTTTATCTTCTTTTTTCTATCTACATTTTTTACTTTGGTTTCAAATTAATGGTGGCTCTTGTTGTACATATGTTGTATGTGTGTGTGTGTGTGTGTGTGTGTTTTATTATTCTTTCTGGTGTAATTTTGTTGTGGAATTTGTGTTGGGTAAATTGGTAGAGGGTTATTAAACATATGCAGCTTAAAGTTTCAAAGACAAAAACAAATTTGGAGGACTTGTAAAGGAAAACTTAATTGTAAATATACTGCATACATATGCCAAACTTGCATGTGAATAAATTTGTAAGTCTTGGAAAGGAATTTTAACTCTGACCACACTCACTTTGAATTTCCGAACATATGCTAAACTTGTGATGATTTTAACCCATCCAAATCTAGTCTGCTAGTTTACACGAGAGGAGTATAAGAGGCTTCATTTCAGTTTTGGACGTTTAACATTAGTTGTGTAGAATGGTATAAAGAGTCGAGACTGATCCTACAATATACTTTCCCTTGTTCATCATAACTACGAAAATATTGATTGATTGTGCATTCACTATAGAAAATGGAACACAACAAACATGGCAATGTCCTCTATCTCCAGTACTTTATTTGCTTCAACTTACCATGTCTACTGCAAGATATTGAGCCATCATAACATCACAAGAATCAAGCAACTTATGACACATATACAAGTCATTCATGATTTAATAAAATAAAAAAATTTAAAAAATTAAATTGTTAGTTACTGATTGAATAAATTCTCTAAGACATGCATATATGTCAACCATATTCAGAAAATAAAAGCTAATTCTAATTTGAGCAGTTAACGATTTTAAACTAATTAATTGATAAGAAACCATACGTAATAAATAAAAAGTTGTTCATTGTAGAAAAATTAAAACATACCGAAGTTCAGTTCATACCATACGAAAAAAAAAAAAAAAAAAATCTAGCCAAATAAAAATGACGGACTCCAATCTGTTGCAATCCCTTCTCTGTTGGATGATGCTAATTGCGGTTGTGAACCTATGTGTCTTGAAGGAGCCCAGTCTAAAGTAACGACCTGCTCTTCATTAGGGAAAGTAGGTCTTGGTAGACTACCGGCTCCTCTTGATGGCTCTCCCTGTCAAGTATTACGTAATTACTAAATCTCAACATATAATAAATAAATGTTCTAAAAAAATTAAGCTCACCTCATGGTTATCCCTTGTAGTTTTACAAGTTCGTTTTTTATGACCAAGATCGCCACAATTTTTACATTTTGTTGGCCCGTATCTTCTTTTAGCTTTATGAGCTTTCTTATCTTCAATCGGGTCCTTTCCTCTCAATTTTTTCGGTCTACCAGCAGGCCTTGTATAACGAGGGGGTAAAATAGGTTCGCGATCACTTTTAGGCCAAAAGTGAGGACCTGCCATAGGATATATGCAATAACCATACGTCTTCAGAAATGTCTCTTTCTTGAAGTACTCACTTACGTAATCTTCATGCTTTCCACCAATGTTATCTACCGCAGCCATGACATGCTTGCAAGGAATTCCCGATATGTCCCATATTCTACAAGTACATGTATGTCTCTCAAGGTTCACAACAAACTTTTCATGCCGACGGGATACCTCAAAGATGGATCGCTGCAAATCTCCACATGGAATTGCTGTCCAAATTTTGCTATCCATAATTGAAGCATTAAGCTTTTTTAGGACATCTGGGCATATTGCACAATGATTTTCCCTCATTTTTTCACCCTTTTCAAACATCTTTCTCATTCTCTGGGTACGTATACCCTCAAGTAATAAAATAATTCCACCACCACGATATTTTAAAATTGAACTATTGAAACACTCAACTATGTTGCTTGTAATTGCAGTGTTCTTGACATGTGATTGAAATCCTGCTTTGCTCCACCTCTCCATACCAATTTTAGTTAAATGTTTCCAAGCCTCAAAACGAATCCGTTGCATTTGATTCATTTGAATATCATAATCGATGATGGTGGTGGCATTTACTGCTGCCCAAAAGATATTTCCAGTCTGGCTATCCTTCCATTTCTTCTGAAAATTTCGAAATAAGTGCAAAACACATAACCTGTTGTATTTTGATGGATAAACATCATCCAAAGCTGAATTCAGAGCCTGCAAATGAAAGTAATCAGAATCAAATTGTTGGAACTAGAAAATTTACAAACATCTGTAATAAAAATCAACTTCTGAGAACTAGAAAAATTAAAAGCAACTGATTATGGTTATGATTAATTTTTTGGCAAAATGATATAATTATTCAAAAAACATACTTATTTATAATCTTAATACAATTTAAAGAAATACTTAATCAAAATCAATTTTCATACAATTAAAAAGAAAGTTATAAACAAAAGTAAAAGGACTTACCGACCCTTAGTCTGAAATAAATGTCCATTTCTCCCCGCGGGGAGAAATATCTCCAATGTCTTTCAACAAATTATGCAAAAACCAAGACCACGTCTCTTTAGACTCTAAAGGAACTACACCAAAAGCTATAAGAAATAGACCGTTATTCCCATCTTGAGCTACGGCCGACAAAACTTGGCCCCGATGATATCCCTTTAGGAAGCATCCATCAATAGCAATCAACGGGCGACATCCTGATAAAAATCCCTTTTTACATGCATCAATGCATATATAAAGTCTTTCAAATCGAGAAGGATTTCCTGGAGCTGAAATCTCAAAGGTAGTTCCGGGATTAGTTCTTAGTAGTTCCTCTCGGTAATCCCATAATTTCGCTTATTGGTCATCTTGATTACCGTTGATAGAATGAAGGGCAAGGTTTCTAACTTTGTATGCTTTAGATGTGCTGATTTTCACATTGAACTTCTCAGAAACATGATCTTGCAACTCCAGTGCAGTCATATTCGGAAATTTACTCAAGTCTCCAGCCACTTTTTTGCTCAGCCATTTGGCATCTACGAACCTAGCTTTCATTCTTCCTTTCTTACAATTATGTTCTTCATAGTATGTCTTCACCTCATAAGTTTCAAGATGACCAACTTTGGAGCAAAAAAGTAGCCATGGACAATCATCCAAGCATTTGGCTCGACACCTTTTATTATCTTTCCTCGTAAACGACAACTCGTAGCCGTTATGTACAGCATAACTTTTCACCATCTCATAAAAATCATTAATGGAAGAGAATTGTTGTCCCATTCGAAAAGTTACTTGTCCGTTCCCAATCTGATGACATTTTGATTGCACTTCATTATCACTATATGATGAATAAGAGTCTGAATCTCCTATTGTTCTCAATTGGTTGCACGATTTTATGGGTCCACTCGACGGATCACTAGCATCACCTAATTGATCTTGTGATGGCTCGCCAAGTTGGATCTCCGGATCTCCATCATTGATGTAAAATGTTGAACCAACATTACCATGATAAGAGTTTTGCATGTACATCTCTGTTAAAAATAAAATAAAATTATAATAATTTCTATCAAACATCTTAATCCAATATAAAATAATTCTAAATTCAACAAAAGCAATCTTGTATTAAGTACACAATCGCACGAATAGTTTTGTGCATGGGAAACAAGGGAGAAAAGAGTACTCCTCCATCAATTTAATTTGTATAATATCCATGGCAAGAACTGAATAAAAATTGAAAGCGATACAATATTTTTATAACCCAACAAACAAAAGCACACGTTGGTTAGATTATAGTTAATGAAGAAATATGACATGTGCAAGGAAAATTAAAGGTAAAACTTGCGAAACATGAAAAAATAATGGGAATTGCAATTTAAGTTTCATGCCTTAAAAAATTAGAAGTGAAACAGATTGCTCACTTCAATTTCCAAAAGGTTTTACATGAGCTAATTCTACCTTTGCTCGCTCTTGTTCGTCCGTCTAGCAAGAGAGGGAAGGCCTATAATCGCAAAAATCGCAGCGAAAGTGAACAGGAAGCACCGTGTATTGAAATTTAGAGGGCTGCAATAGGAGGTTTTGAGAGTAAAAAAAACTGTTCGTCTGCTTCTTTAAAAAAAATAAGAAAAAAAAATTAATATCATGTTTAATTAACTGTTAAGTAACAGTATTAGTAATAAGCCCTAATTTAAGAGTTAAAAGATAAATATGAACCCTCAATTAAGAATATATAAAATTTGAGATCTTGTATTGAAAAAGATATAAATTGAGGCCTTAATATGATAGAATACTTAAAAGTTGAGCCCTATACTAGAATTTTCCCCAGAATATAATGCTAACTGATTCATGAATTTGAAATATATTGTCACGGATCTATACAACTGAGATCCTTATTGCATGAACACACACAAGTATGGAATAAGATTCATCAAAATATCTACTATTTTTTTCGTAAATAAATTAAAAAACAAATACACCAAATTCAATATTATTAATTCAACACATTCATACATTATTCTTTTTTTAGGACAAATTCACAGCATAAGAACGTGTATATATTTCATAATTTTAAAGGAAATCGACTACGAGCAACCATAAATCGTCAATTAACCGTAAAAGACCAATCTCACGTGAAAAATTCAATGTCGATTAACTCAATCCGCATCGAATTCTTTAACCATGTTCATCGAGACACCCAATTTTACCATAAGAAACGACTCGCATCCCATGTATATAAATACACGCTCGGCACAAGAACTCGACCAACATTCGCAATACAATAAATAACACTAAATATTATTCACAAAACAGCCGATATGAGTAGAAACTCAATTATGCGAAAGAAAATAGCCGACGAGGCTCAAAGGGGGGCCACTTTCAACAAGAAAGTGGGAGAACTCTTGAAGGAAGCAAACGAGCTCTCCACCCTCTGCGGGGTCGAGATGGGCATTGTCGTCCACAAGGAAGGGGAGGACAATGCCGTGACATGGCCTTCACGGAGAATATTCAACGAGAGTCTCCAAAAGTTCTTGAACTTTTCGGAACCGGAAAGGGCGGAGAGGATGACCACACACGTGGACTTTCTCGAGCAACTTGTGGCGGCCGAGGCCCGTAAAATGGCCGAGGCCCGGGAGAGGCTCCAAATGCGGAAGGCCCAACAATTGCTGGCCCAAGTGACAACGGGCGAAAAAAGAATGGAGGAGCTCGATTTCCATCAATTGCAAGGTTTGGCGTCGTTTGCTTCTGAGATGCTTAGAAAGATCGGGAATCGTGAGAATGAGTTGAAAGGCGAAGGGTCAGGTAGTTCGAGTAGTTAAGTTGTTCAGGTTTTCGGACCGCCGCCCGATGATGATGATGATGATGATGATGATGATGATAATAATAATAATAATAATAATAATAATGGTTGTGATTGCAGCATTTGAAAATTTTCTGTTGGTAAATAATTTGATACTGTTTTGTTGATGTAAGAAACTGGGGGAAAAGGAAAGCCCATATGAAGCCCAAATGAGGTTCCATCCCAAAACCAATTGGTGAGAGGAGTAGCCCATTAGACTTATAAGGTGGGTCTATTTTCTATGTGTGAACGATGTGGGACAACTCACAAGTGATATTTTAACGCGCCCCCTCACTTGTGAGTCCTGATATCATGTCTCTAACCCAGGCACAAAGTGGGCTCTGATATCATGTCTCTAACCCAGACACAAAGTTGGTCGGGCTCTGATATCATGTCTCTAACTCAGGCACAAAGTGGGCTCTGATATCATGTCTCAAACCTGGCTCTGATACCATGTAAGAAACTGTTGGGATTTATGTTTTGATGATAAGGTTTGTGTTTGTATTTTCTCTTTGGAGAATTCATAATGAAATGGTGTTTATTTTGTTTTCTTTTGTTTCTGAAAGCACATTATGATTTATGATCCCTTTTCTCTATCAATTCCATTAACCATTTTAAAACAAATCAATGAAATAACCATTTGAAGAAAAAAAAAA